GTGGTTGTACATGTTAAAGGAAGGCGCTGGAGCGTCAATGGATGAATGTAGAAGGAGAGCTCATGCACCTATTGCATTTATGGTGGCTGATAGCGTAACCATGTTGCTATGACATCTTTCCTAAGAGGAAAATTTCTGCGTCTGAACAATCCAGTGGCCTACTTTTAAGGAATGTGCTTAAAAAATAACCTAGGTGGGTCTAATTCACCGACTTGCCTTTGATCAAAGTGATGATGCTGACATCGATGCCGATAATAGCAGCAGTCCCAATGGCAACCGAAAAATTACCACATAACTCGTTTCTTATTGTCTTTTAACTAGTACGCGAGGGTTAAGCCACTAGAGGAGCCAATCTCTTCACTGACTCGACTTCTCCAGTCTTGATTCTTAAACTCCTCTTGGTAAGTGAACTTAGACTCCAAATCAATTCTCCTCATAAGCGCTTTAACTGGGGCGATCCTTGCATCTGTCTTTAATGCAAGCCTCTTCAACATCATTCCGGCTGTCTTTTGCTTTACTTCCTTCTGCTCAGCTATTTCTGCAATTTTCTGGAATTTTAGCTCCAAGTTGCAAGACAATCAAGCAAAACAGAGGGAAACGTGAGAAGCCGTAGGCACTACCACCAAGGCTGGTACGAAACAGATACAATTCGAGAAGCCACCTGAAGATAGCGAGAGACAGAGACAGGCAGTACAAAGATTAAACAGGTAAGTTTAGTGAAGATAAAGGAAAAACTGTGGTGTTCTAGCCTTCCAAAGGTGACTTCGCTCGAGGATTTCAAGCACATTTGTCCCTCATAGACGTGTAAGGAGAAGACTACAGGGATGTCGAGTGGACTTGGTACACCCATAGTTACTTTGCCAATTCATCTCAATGCTCTATTGTAAAAATATATTTTTAAGAGAGGATCAGCACCACAGTCCAGCTTCTAGGCAGCACACTTCTCACAAGTCAATTTGGCACAGCCTTTCAAGCAGCATTTTTGAAACATTTCTGAATGCTGCTTTCGTCCATTTCTCCTTCTACAGGATGGAAACTTCCGTTTTGAATGCACTGCATCATCTCAAGATCTAACTCACCTTTCTACTTTTAGTAAAGTTCTCTCCACTGTCTTTCATGGTTTTTCGAGTCTTCCTCATTTTCACGGCTTCATCAACCGAAAAATGCTCAAAGCTACCAGTTCTTTGTTGATCATGGCTTCGGCTTTGGTATGGATGGCATTATGATCGGTTTGATCAAGTATTATGTATAGAGGCGCGGTTGACGACAAGGGCACTTTACTACTGCACTGCAATCGCTAATAACCACATCTGAAATAGTTCATTTTTTCCTCAAAGCAGGCCGAAGTGGTCTTTTTACTGTCAAGCAAAATAACAGTGATTGCATAAGAGCAAATATTTCGTGCTTGTTTACCTTCTTACAAATGGACTTCTGAAACTGCTTAAAAGCGAATATCAAATAGACATTTGTAATACGATAGTGGTTTATCCCTCGGTTCTGGTGAGGCGCCACTTTTGTACTTTGAATTAGCTCCCTTGTACCTCGCTGAGTGGGGCTGGCCTTTTGGGCCATGCCAATAGCCCAGACACCTTCTCCGTGCTAAATATGTGTATTCTACCCGAGTATTGTGTCTTCTTTCGTCTTCAGGGAGTCTCGAGACGCTACACGTTGACAGAACTGTCAGCAGCAAAGAGCTGAAAGTCAGGAGAGAAAAGGTTAAGACGTGCTTCTCGTTAAAAATCGAGTCTCAAAGTTTACCAATGTTGAGGCAAACACATATGACCGGTCAGACTGAATGATTGTGGCTTGTGCGATCAAGCTAAAATTGAACGGAAATTATTATTTATATGTAAACTCTTAACCAAATAACTTAACTGATATTAAAGAAATAGCATCTAAACGCAAATAAAATTAATGCTACCATGATCCCCTTTAATACTTTTAAAAGCAAATCACAGTACATCATTCGAAAGTCTATCCTAAGAAAATACGCCTAGAGGAAGCCGGGAAGGTAGACTTCATGGCCTTGTGTGCATAATTCACAGCGTTTGAAGTGTACGGCTTTAACAAAGTATCAACATCGACCATTTCCACCTCTCTTCCCTCACGCGGTTGGGCTGAGGTTGCCCTCATAGGCGTGACATTCACCTCACCCAAGGGACCAATCACTGACATTCGATAACTCCCTCCTTGCTGTGAACCATCGTTCTCAATTTACATTTTGAATGCGATTTCATTGGTCATCAGTAAAACGACTATCTGGAATGTCATTGATAATGCACATATATCAGCTTGTGGAACATGAAGAAGCATAAACATCTTCGCTATGAATCGGACTGGGGCGGATCTGGAAGCAGAGAAACTGGAAATACCGACTAGGACTCTCTGTAAATTAGCACGCTTTTTGCCCACTTGTTCTCGATGCCTGACAAAATCACGCAACTCACTTAAACCTGTTAACATACTGTACTGTGGGAATTGCCTGACTTGCAAATTCCCTGCAAGACGCAGTCTCTCAGGCTAGTTAAGGCTTCCCCACCCCAAAAATTACTGATTTAACTTCGCAATGAAATTGCTATGATTTGCAGTTATTCACCTCTTATCGCACTTACAAAAAAATTTGTGCGCTGCGTAGAAAACGCTTGTGATAAAGGTACTATTTCAAAATTAAATGAAACCTTTCTGCATGAGTGACAGGAATGAGATTTAATGTGGAAAGAGCAATTTCTGTCATTACTCCGACTCATATTCAGCTGGCACTTTT